ACTCCACAATTCTCCTTTTAATATTAATATCACGATAACTAACTTTTATATAAACATAAATCCTTCCACCAAATTTTACGAGGATCGTTCCATATTTAACCCTATCCCCCATATAAAGCATCCTTCAGAAAATCAGTTTTTGAAAAATTTTGTATTAAGAAAAATATCAATAACTTTGTCAATTGCTAACAGTTTTTTATGAATAGACATGGGTTTTTTTACTCATGAATAGACATGGGTTTCTATTTAATTCATAAATAGTATATTTGCTATAGAAAATACCTTTAAAAAACATCTCCAAACTTGGACAACGGTGCAAAGCTAAAATCAAAAATATGTTTGCTGATGAAATTCACACATATCTCTCCAGGTTACTTAAACATCATATATGCCATTATAAAGGCCTCAACTTCTGATTTCTAAATCCGTGGAGAAACTTAAAATCGGTTGAGATGCATGTAAGTTACTGACTTTTAAGTGCCTAAAGGTACGATAATACTTTTTTAACCCGTAACTCTAGATTTTGGAGGAGTTTGGCAAATTTCAAAAACGTATTCTTGTTCTACACGGATCCACCTTTCAGAAAAATAGTATGATTTCTCAGGTATTTATTTTTGTCGAATAGTGTAAATTTATCATACAATAACTCGGTATGCCACAAAATAAAAAAAATTTGAGAAAAACAATTTTAAAGTTTTAAAAAATTTTAAAATTCTATGAAAATTTGTACAAGTAGACCTTATATATTTCGCCGTATAAAATAATTATATGAAAATATTTTCTGTGATGGTAGCCAAGATATGTGGTAATACAATTAGGACATAAAATTATTTTTCGATATCGAGTAGAAATTTGATTATAAAGGGGGTAAAAAAAGAATAAGAACAGATAAATTCTTATATCTTCTAAACTAAAAGAAGTACAACAAAACAACTGGATAGATGTCTGGTACTTTTTTTTGAGATGAAAAAACTTATTTGGTACTTTTATAAGTACCCCGTGTATCTTCTAAACTAGTGAATATACATACATTCTATAATAAATACGTAACTTGTCAACAAAATAAAATAAAAATGTAGAATTTTTGGAATTTTCGCACAATTAAGGGGTGACAATTTTAATTATTTTTAATAAAACATTGTTTGCTACTTATTGACTTACACTGCGTGTAATTTTTTAAGTCATGGAAATATAACCATATACAGACACCACTACCAAACCGTTCTGAATTTTTCTCAGGCTCATATCTTGCAAACCCTTAGGAATTTTGATTTACTCTTGTCATACAGAACAAAAATTGTGAACATATGTATTTATAGAATCCAATTTGCGAATTGCACTACTTTTGTTAATGACACCTGTACGTATACGTGTTAATGATTTATTGATATTACAAATATTAAGTATACGCCTAATTTAGAGATGCAATTGAAAAATTTTTTAACACGTAAAAAATCGATTTTTTACGTTTTTTTTTGCGATTTTGATCTTGAAGATAAAGTTTCTTTTTATTTTATATGTTGGCATTTTTTTCTTTATCTGGATAAATCATTATTCCAAGAAAATGAAAAAATTATCACTTTTTGATAAAAATGACACCAAGGCCACAAATCTTTGTGGGCCCATAAAAATGTGCATGACTTTGGGCAAAACTGGGAGACACGGATCTTTTTTTGGTTTTTTATCACGTAGTGGTGTCCGTATAAGGTTATATTTGTTCGTGCTGCACTGTGTTATACATATGTAGGAATACTTAATGGTCTCCCACTACGATATTGTCACTCTTTAAATTAAAATTTTTGAATTAAATTTATTTCTTCAATGAGAAAAAAAGTTCCAAAAGTGATAGGTAGATATGTAAAACTTTGAATGAATATATCTTATAAACTAGATATTGAATTATAACAATTTTTTGGACTTAAAGGTCATATTCTTAAAAGACCACCAAATTAACAGTATATATAAAATAGTGAACGGTTTGTTTTAAAAGAATATTCGTTTTTATACCCACCATCAAAAAAGATGGGGGTATATTGATTTTGTTATTCCGTTGTTAACACTTTGAAATATTCGTTGTAGACCCATAAAAGTATATATATTTTGGATCCTTATTAAATTCTAAGACGATCTAGCCATGTCCGTCTGTCTGTCTGTTATGGACACGATAGGGCCTAAACGAGGAAAGCTAGAGAGCTGAAATTTTGCATAAATACATTTCATTGATAGGCACTATTTAGTATTGAAAAAGGGCAATATCGGTCCACGATTTCAACTAGCCCCCATATAAGGTCCCCTTTACAAAATGACTTAAAAAAAGGCTCGTAAAACAATGAAATTCGACATTTAGGAGGCAACATATTTTTGAAAAATTTTATGAAGATCGGTCGATTATTGACCCTATCCCCCATATAAAGATCCCATCAGAAAATTACTTTAACGTCCAAAACTCGTTTAACATATAAGGTCCCCTTTAGAAAAAATGACTATAATGCTAGATTCGGCATAGCCGAATATAACACTCTTACTTGTTTCTCTTTACCTATGTATTATGTATAATGCATCACTTGAAGAAGAGATCGATATATTTTAAAGAAACTAGGCAGAATATAGCAATCTACATTGATAAATGTAATCTTAAGATACCGGTAAAAACGGGTTTCGTACATCAATACACTTATAAATCAGTAACTTAGTTAAATCCCAACCTATATTTTAAACTCAACGGATTTAGAAGTGGAAGCTGAGGCCTTTATATTGATATATACTATGTTTAACTAACCTGTTTTGCAGACGTTTTTACAAACTATTTTATATAAGAAAATCGTACTATTTATTAATGTATTAGAAACAGGCCACTAGCGGTCCCGTTGTTCGCTGCTTTTCATGGAAGAAAAAAGTTTGTTGACAAAAAAACAACATAGTGTCGACAGAATGTATTATCTTTCAATGTTGTGAAACTCAGCTTCCTGGCTGTAATTCCTAAGAATTTTCCAATCTGTGTTCGTGAAAAATGTTCCGCTTGACCAAGGCATTATATCTTGGCTCAGTGTTTCAAAGTTTTCGACATATTCTGAGTCTGGTATGCGATCATACTTTTATAAAACCAATGTGTTATAGTAGGACTAAAACCCCATTTCATGCCTATAGTTCTCCTACATAAAATATTCGTAAAAAGTAACATTCAAATATTATTCGAATATTCGATTAATCGACAAAAATTGTTCGAATTATTCTTTGTTCTAAATTGGAAATGTTTTACTCGTTCGAAGAAAAACAAATGTTTTCCTCGATTAATCAGATAATTTTTATTCGAATGACAATACTAATTTGGACATACCGTGGACCTGACAACACGACAATACCCAACTCACATTAAGATTCACCTTTCTCTTAGTTTTTTAAATATTGGGTCGCTTTATCTGGTCGCTTTATCTGGATCCTGATGAAATTAACAAGACTTTACTCTTAACTCTTCGTTCTTCAACTGATACTTTTTGAATCTTTTTTAATATTAAACCTAGAAACATAGAATTCGTTACTTTTTTAAAACATAGAAACATAAAATCAGACAAATACTTAGGATCCTAATTAAATGAGAGGGTATAATGGTGAACTTTTTGCTACTTTAAAAGTAAAAGCAGGTATTTTTTAATTGTTTATAATAAGAAGCCTATAAACATAAAATTAAACATGAGGAGTCTTAATTGTTGATCAAGTTCTGATGTTGAGTAAATTTTTAGTTAGTTTTCCTAATTATATTCTCTCTTGTGGTAATCTAAACGATTTTTCTTCGAAAATATTTTGTGTCAACAAAGCATTATTTGCAGAAAGCTTCTAAAAGCTAAATATCATGGAGCTAAAGTAATGTCTATATTTGGTGGTACCAAAAAATAGTTAAATTGTTTAGCTTCCAAATTCAAAGCCAAATATCACAGCTGATACAATATAAATTCAGAAAAATATTGGTCACATATCCACCTTAAAGTAAACCAATCTGATTAAATACGTTTTCTGAGTTGATTAATTTTTAAGACAGTTTTATAAAATTTGTCATAAATATTTATTTTGATCCAGTGATTTATAGTTGAAATCGGTCCATAATTATGTTAAATAACAAGTGTCCCTACAAAACTCGGCACAACTAAGTCTTGATGATCAGGCCGAATTGCGTAATGATCGGGCTTCATTTATGAAAATTAGTTTTTATTCAAAACATTGTGTTTCATTCGAAAAAATACGGACTTATTGAATCTCACACTAAAAAATATTATTTATGAAATTATAAATTATGATCGATATTTCCAAAAAAAAAAAACAGATTGGATATGGAAAAATTTTGAACTGCTAAAGGCTCAAATGACTCCTCAAACAAAAATAGTATCCTTATAAACTCAAATTAAAAATTACAATTTATAATCCTACACATTTAAATAAATATATCCAAACTCAACGATAACATATCAAATTTAAAGTTACGGCATTTTCATTATTTCTATAAAGTATTTTTGACTTGAGTATTGCATATCTTACTAAATACATATTTACAAAATGTCAAAATTAAGCTGCTTTTGTGAGAAATTGAATTAATTGATTTTTTGCGCTTGTTTCTAAATACAGACTTAATAGTTCTTAATTGTATCCAACTAAATCTACAGAAAAAAAGTTCTTAAAAGCAAACTCGATTATGAAGAGTTGGTTGCTTTGTCGGTTGTATGTACAAAAGTTTACTTCTTACAATATTATTAATATCATTTAAATTTTCTTATATTTCTGCGTGTAACGGTGTCGATTCAATTGTGTTTTGTATGTGTATTGTGATGAAAGTTTTTCTTTAAGTGTATATGATATAAATTGAGAGAATTTACATGATTCAGAGATGGTGATATTTCAAAACTAAGTAAGTGTAATTTAAATTGATGAAAGTATTTATTAATTGAAATCAAACGCAGCGATTGTTTGTATTTTGTTGTTGTTTCAATTAAAATTTTGTTTGTATTCACCTGACAGAATTTTACTTAGAGGTTGTTTTCCTATATTTGTTGCTGACTGTCTGTTTCTACATTTTGGATGAACGACATTTGTTTGTTTGCTTCCTAAAAGAAAACACCGAGAGATAGAGATAGAGAGAGAAATAGAGACAGATAGAGGGAGAAAGAGACACAGACACAAAATTTGTTTGATTTAAATAGCACGACTTTTAATCAACAATATTGAATATTTTTAGCTTATTTATTTAGTTTTTTTTTTTTTAGCTAGGTGTTAGCAAATTGCCTATCTGCTTAAATCGTTGGCATTTTGCATTTTATTTCTACAAATATGTACTGTATTCATTAAATTATTTATAGAAAACTATTTCTTTGGTTGTTGGCTAAACTTAAAAAAATTAAGCAATATTAGTAGACGGTTTGTTGTAGGGTGAAGGTGTTTTTTTATAAAAGAAGGTTTTAAATGTAACCAAAAATAGAAAACTTAAAAAGAAATAAAGAAATGTATGTAATCAGCTCAACAATAGTTTTACTAATGCTGGTTTTCTTTATCTACTTAACTATTTATAAACAGCGGTTTTAGTTTTTACTTTTAAATATTATTTACCAGCACTCAATGGGCCAAGAACGAAATAAAAAAAATTAAATCAATTGTGTGTGAATAAAGTACGTAATTTTACATAAAAATACGTACAAATTGCGAATGGTGATTTGAAAAAGAAAAAAAAAAAAAAGAAACGTTATTTTCCACTTTTTTTTTGTAATGGAAAGGTTTATATCATTCTTATGTCGGCTTAAATTAATGACTTTAATACCATGTAAATTAGACAATTACTTGGTGGCAATTAAACAAATATCTACTTATGTATGCTTAGTATTTTATTTTATTATTTATTGCGTATTGCATATTTACATAAATAACTATTTAGATTGCTAAATTTAAAGGGCGAAAAAATATATTTATTTATTTGTATTTAATTAAGCATGTAATTCAAGAGATGATTTTATCTATCTGTCTAAAAGATGATAACTTACATAACAAGAGATCATCAAAAGATGAGTCTTCAAAAAAATCAGAATTTCTTGCATTGACGGCATTCCACCAGATGCAATCGTCCTCTTCTTTGGGGGTACAGTAATGTAAAACCGGGTTGACTTAGTGGAGATCGGTTGATCAGCGGATAAAAAATTAGACAGAAAACATGCTCAAGAGCAGGGCCATCAACTCTAATATGGGTATTGGCAAGACAAGAAAAGTTGTGACAAGGGGTACACCACAGAGTGGTGTCATCTCCCCACTCTTGTGGAATCTGGTCGTAAATAAAATCATTTTCAGGCTCAGTAGGATGGGCTCGAAATAGGCTTTTCTCTTGGATCAACTTCTAATAGTGAAATTAGGTTGTATTTTATCGTCAAATGGAAGACTGTAAAATATTATTCAATTATTTTGAGGGTCGCCGCCAAAGTTTGTAAATGCGTTTATATGGGAAAAAAGGCACTTTTTGGAGTTTTTTCACAAAATGAGGCTTTATGTATTAATTATTGCACAATTTTATAGCAAAATCGTAATGTCTACAAAAAGATGGAAAAACTCAAAATTGGTTAAAAAAGTTTTGAGTTATTAAAATTTCCCCCGAGAATTCTGTAATTCTGAAGCCATATAAAAGTAAATATAAGAAAATTTTTGTTAGTTTTGAAAAATTTTACAAAAAAATATTATGTTTATCTTTATAAGGTTCATAAATGTGCTAGTACGAATTTTTGTTCAAATTGGATAACGCTTACTCGGTTTAGTGAAAAAAGGGCCATTATTTTAACCATTTTCAAACTTTAAAAAATTTTGTTAAATGGATTATTAAAAATTAAAGTTTTCTATACTGGATATTATAAAGGATATATATAAGAATTAAACACAGAAAAAATGTGCTTAATACCTCTCATAGTTTTACCGTACCTGCGATGTGAATTTGAAGGATTTCGGGAAAAAGGCAATTTTTGCCAATAATTAAGTAAAAATTATATTATTACCAATTGTTGCTTAATTTTAACTTAAAGCCTCATTTTGTGAAAAAAAAAACTCCAAAAAGTGCCATTTCATATAAACGCATTTTCAAACTTTGGCGGCGATGCGCGGGCTCTTACCCTCAATCTTGGGAATCTCCTGCGAAAAACTGAATCTAGAAAATTCGACCATACATGTATACTTGGACAGCATTGCATCAATCAAGACTCTTAACTCCAATGTTATTAATTCGAAATGTCTTCTCAATTGTATTCAATCATTGGTACAACTGACGCAACATCACGTAACGTTGATATGGATTCCAGGACATAAGGGCATCCAGGGAAATGAAATATCAAAGGGTCGTCCCTAGACTTAACATATGGACATATGTCGGAACGTATGGGCTACCCACATTAGCTGCTGTAGAAGCTGCTTGGACGAAGAGGAAGTGGAATCGGTACAACACCTTCTATGTGACTGTCCAGCCTTTCTATGATCTGGACAGTCTCAGAGATGCGTCACTAGTAAACCCGGAAACCCCGGAAATTTGAGGAATTACATTTAAAGTATTTAAAGGACATAAGGGCATCCAGGGAAATGAAATATCAAAGGGTCGTCCCTAGACTTAACATATGGACATATGTCGGAACGTATGGGCTACCCACATTAGCTGCTGTAGAAGCTGCTTGGACGAAGAGGAAGTGGAATCGGTACAACACCTTCTATGTGACTGTCCAGCCTTTCTATGATCTGGACAGTCTCAGAGATGCGTCACTAGTAAACCCGGAAACCCCGGAAATTTGAGGAATTACATTTAAAGTATTTTTTCTTAAATTTGTTAAAAATAGCGCTTCATTTTAAGAACATTAAAGTTTAATTAGAATTATAAGAAGCTTTCAATAAAGGAAAGATTCGATATCCTATTCATTTCTATCATATTGATTTCTCCACACCACGCATTTTCGTGACAAAGAATTTCGTGCTTTTTATACCTTCTTACCGCTTTATATGCATACATTTATAGAGTATATCTTTCCAAATTTGCTGACATGTTCATGCTCAGCTTGTGACGGTTAGAAAAGTAGAAAGTAAACCTACTGTAAGCATTCTACTCGTCAATGCATCCTAAGCTTTTGTTTTTGATTATAATTTTTTGAAATATGCGTAGAATGCGAGAATGTGAATTATGTGAACGACAAGCTTAAATGTGGGAAATGACTTCTAGAGACCAATTTTGTATTCAAATAGAGATGTCAGACATTCCGCTCAAAATTGTTTCAAGTCGGTTTGATCGTATTTTTCTCGGGAATTCTCGGGAATGAACATTTTTTAAAATCATTTCCCGAAAAAAAAAAATTCGGGAAAGTTGGGTAACCCTTTGTAGGTTATCAATATAGTAGATTAACTATATAGTAGTTCAGGGTAGTCAACCAGAACTGCTGGGATATAATCCGGTTTTTTGAAGCCGGGTAATTTCGTATTCCCTTTGTTCCAGGTCACTAACAGCACTTAACACAAACTATTTTGGATAACATTTTATAACACAACATTTTCAGAAGGGCAACTTAAGCACCATTTTATGTGAGTGGGACTAATATATGCTACTTATACAGCTGACTTACTGGAAACCCCCGCTTATTATTACTGTTTGATGTAATTTATGTAATAATGTAATGTTAAATTTTCAGTTCCAAACACTTGTATTATATAAATAACTGTTGTTTTTTATAAAATGGATACCTTTTATTGTTGAGCATTTCATATTCCCTCTTCAATTTTGAATTTTTTAATTTAGTGGCGTAACAACTAATTGAAAATTACCATTTGTTATTAAAAATTTAGAATTTTTAAGAAGCAAATTAAAAATTAATAATTTTCCAACTGTAACTTGCTATTCCACTGATGGTCGTATGACATCGATATTAAAATCATCTCCTCAAATAAAATGCTTAATTAAGTTTTACAATACAATAATTAATAAATATTCGCAATTTATAACAATTTTAAATATTATATCTATTTACAGCTTGAATATATCTTAAAAATTAATAATAAAACAAATAAATATAAAGAAACTATAAAAATACAATGGGAATTTCTATCATAAACTGATCTTTTTACAAAATCAAATGCAAAATAATTGTTAAAAAGAGGAGAAAAACAAATTAAGTAGAAAATCGAAATGAAGAAATTATTTTACAGAAGAGAATGAAGAAGCAAAACAGGCTTAAGAATAATAATCTTTCTACCATGATCAACGTAACGTAAAAAAGCATTATTTGTGTGAAAACACGGCAAAAACTGAATAGAAAAGTCATGCCTTTTTGCCAAAGGAGAAGAAAATGAAGCTAATATTAAGTAATATAGGAATAAGTCTAAGTCCAATTGAATTTTTTTATATGAAAAAAAGCACAAATCGGTTTGTTTTTTTATTATTTTATGTTGTGGTAGAAGTAGAAATATGTTAAATAAAATTAAAGGCAAAACTTAAAGCGTTAAGTACAGAAATAAACAAAGAAAATATTATAAACTAAGTATTATAATAGGATTAATTATATTAAGTATTTAGTATTTATACGATTAATGTGATATTTTTATGGTACGAGTAATAGTTTTAACTATTTGAATTGATAACGAACCAATTCAAATGTTTGTTAGTAATAAGAGAATTGGATTTACTATCCTTAGTCAACAAAAACAAAAAATACACATTTACTGCATTTCAGTGTGAGATTTTTAGGTTGAAAGTGAAATGTGTACTTTTTATTAGTGTTGTTTACGATATTTATTGTTAAATTGTAAATTTTTAGATGTAAAAGATATTACGATTTAAAGAGACTTACCTGTATCAACAATGACATCGATGAGATCCATGGATTTGGCAAAGGCATCTTTCAGATTGATATGATGGAAAGAAACAATGCTACCCTCACGTTTGGCACGATCGAGCGCCTCACGGCGTTTGAGCGCCTTCTCGCGTCTCATCTGATTCTTATAAAATTCAGCGAAATTGTTAACTATGATGGGAATAGGCAAAGCGATTACCAGAACACCGCATATGCAACACACAGTACCAATAACCTTTCCCAGTGCAGTAGTGGGATAGATGTCCCCGTAGCCAACAGTTGTCATTGTAATACCCGCCCACCAAAATGTTTCCGGTATTGAAACGAATTTTGTATCCTTTTCATCCTTTTCGGCAAAATATGCCAGCGAAGAAAATATGAGAACGCCCATAGCCAGGAACAGCATTAGTAGACCGAGTTCCTTATATGAATTGCGTAGGGTAAAGCCTAACGACTGCAGGCCCGTTGAGTGACGGGCCAGCTTAAGGATTCGCAGGATGCGCATGATGCGAAAAACTTGCACCACCCGGCGCACATCCTGGAACTGGTCCGTAGCATTCTTGTTTGTCTCCAACAAAAACAGGGAAACAAAATAAGGGAGTATTGCCAATAGATCGATTATATTTAAGCCGCCTTTAAAAAACTTCCACTTGTCTGGCGACGCACTAAACCTAAGTATATACTCTAGCGTAAACCACGATATACAAACGGCCTCAACCATAGCCAATTGTGGATTATCTGTTGGTGTACCCGTATCATTATCATAATGTTGTAACTGTGGTAGGGTGTTCAACGTCAGGGCTATGGTAGACAGGACTATAAATAGTATGGATATCACAGCGATAACCTGCACACACACATATTTTGTTACATTAACACACACACATTTTGCGCGCGAGAGACACAGAGAGATAAAAATAGAGAGAGAGAAAGATAGAGAGAGACAAAGTTAAGTTTTTGAAACTTTTTTCAACAATGGTTTTGTTAATTTTATCTTTATTTCTTGTTAATTCTGTTGTTTTTTCAATAGTTTAGTAACAGAGACGAAAGGTGTGTAAATGTTCATATTTATTTATGAAACAAATACAACAATACCTAAATATTAAATATTGTTAATTTAGATCTAAAATAAACTAATTATACGTATGTATCTACGATGTGTTTTTAGCAATAATAAATTAACTCTCAGCTACGCACACACACACACACTTTTTCCTCCTCAAGATCATTATTATCCTTTTCTTCGCTCTTTAAACATTTGGAATTGTGGAGGGATGGGGTTTTGAAATAGTCACAAGGGCCAAGAGAAAATGTCTAACACTTATAATACTTTTGGCGCTGAAGATTGTTGTTGGTTACTTTGTTGCATCACATTTGCATTTTACCTTTTAACAGATTCTAATTAATAAACATCATTTCTGGGAGTAAACAAAAATGGGTTAAGGGTATTGGGGAGTAAGTTTTATATAATTTGTTTTTTTTTTCGTTCTAAAGATTTTGGACCATCATCACTTTTTGGAGATTTTGAGATTTGAATTTAAAGGAAAAAAATATAAGAAAAGTTCTTCAAAAATAGTTGTACGGAAATGTGTTTGATTTCCTATACTGTTTAGGTTTTTGTTTTCTTTTACTGGTTTATGTATGAATATATGTATGTGTTTTTAGATAAAAAGAAAAATGGATGCTCCACTATTGACGAAACAAATGGAAAAACAAAATACTTCATGAGAAATCAATTGATGAAATCTTTCTAATATATGCAGATATTGGTCAAATGTAATAGGTTGATTTATCTAAACTGAAAATAATCCATGCGTAATATATACGAGAATTGTCGTACATTGTACGAAAAGTTTCGTTGTTTCGCACCACCAAATTGTTTCGTAATATGTACAAAATTGTATGAAATATTTTAGTATAATTCGTTTATTTTAAGAAATATTAGTTAAATTACTTTAATTTTAAAATGTAAATTTAGAATAAATGGTGAAATTTACGAAATATTTATTTATACAAAAATTCTTGTTAATTTTAACAACTTATTTCTTAATTTTTCCTAAATTTTATAGAAATATTAATATATTATTATTTTAAGAAAGTAAAGTCGGGGGTGGCCGACCATAGTTAAGTATATTAAATGTGATTTATTTTTCATAATAAAGCATTTATCTTCAATATAATCTATATATGGGGGCTAGGGGCAAATATGGACCGATACCGTGATTAGATTTATATTTATATAATGTATATTTGTGTTGAAATTCATTACGATGTTAGTGTTTATATGTGAATTTTAGATATTCAAGTCATATTCTGATGGGGAATTTGTATGAGAGCTAAGGCCACTAAGACTTGTATAAAACTTATTCGCACCGATTTTTATCGAGATACTGGTTTAAATAACATAATAATTATATGTATGGGGGCTAGGTGAAATAATGGGTTGATTTCAACCATTTTCATGACATTTTCGTAAATATTACGAAAAAAGTAGTAACGATTTTTTTTTTTCGTAAAATTAAGCATGGATTATGCAGTGTATGTAAGTAGATGTATATAAAATGATTCTGAGTAACTTTGTTTATAAGATTCAAATAAGTGTACTATATTGTTCTATACTTATAAGTTTCGATCACTTCAAATTATGCCTTTATAGTCAATTTCGACATATTTATACTGGACATTAGGACCATGTTGGGTGCGTCATTGTACATAAGAAACGAGTAGGGATTTAGAATTACCACTTGATAAATGTTGGGAAAATACAGAATTAATTTAACAAACTTGAACGGATCCTCACGTATACCTAAACCCGAACTAGTGTTCTTTGAGTCGACCATCCAGCCTACTGGAATGAGGAATCTCTCAGAGAGTAAACACTTTGAGTTTTTTAAACTTTAAATCACATTGTTCTGAAACAAGGCAGTTTCAATTAAATTAGCATAACGAATAAGTAGGTATTGGTAAGAATATTACGGAGTAGTCCAGTGAACTGTAAAATATATATTTCTCAAAACTTTATGGAAGTTGTGGTCCATTTAAGGCTGGACGTCTGTAATTTATGTTTTTTTATTTTGTTAAAATGATTTGATACCAAAATTTAAAAGTAAATTATTCTAGTGTTTTTCATAAATGATAGACGTGTCCAGTTATGATCCGATCAATGAGAAACTATGACTTTGATGTGTGTTAATTTTTGATATCGATATCATATATGCAAATTATGCAAATTTAAGGGATTTTCTATTATGGACTTTATAAATTTCATTACTGATTACTTTTCATCTAAATACCTACATATATAATACATAGTTTCATGTGTTTATGTGTATGTTTTAGATGTTTATGAACTCAAATGACCAGTTTAGGTGTTTGGTTCTTTCTATCGGAGATTCGATTAAGTGATCCCAAAATAAGCTGTCTTTTATTAACTCATTAAAGTTCCAAATCAGGCATGGGGGGTAATGATTACACAATGTAATTAATTACAAGGTCAATTACAATTACTTGTAATGTGTAATTGAACAATAACCAAGTACAATTACTTGTAATTGTAATTGAAATTTTTCCAATTACAATTACTTGTAATGTGTAATTGACAAATAACTAATTACAATTATTTGTAATTGTAATTGAAATTTTTGCAATTACAATTACTTGTATTTGTAATTGAAATTTGCAATTACAATTACTTGTAATTGTAATTTAGATATTACTAATTACAAATGACATGTAATTATAAGGAACTAAATTCACAATTACAAGTAATTGTAATTGGAATTTCTTCAATTTCAAGTAATTGTAATTAGCAAAACTTCAATGACAATTACAAGTAATTGTAATTGGCAAAACTTCAATTACAATTACAAATAATTGTAGTTGGCAAAACTTTAATTACAATTACATGTAATTGGTAATGCTTCAATTACAATTACTTCAAATGTAATTGTAATTGAAAATTTAGTCTTACCCCGCAAGCCTGATCCAAATGAGGATATTGTTTGTTAAGAATTAAGCTAACATATATTTTCTGTTTTCTTTCACTTAAGGGGTTAACAATTAACAGCATGAGTTGTACTAATTCTTTTTACTAGTGTTTTTAATTTTATTCCCGCCCAATGTCTCTAAAATTGTCCCCACAATTTTTTTCTTAAAAAAGAAAAACAAATTTTGTTGATAGTTTGTACTGAATTCATTAAAAACAAGAAACGTATTTGTAACAGCTAATTTCTTCTTAGGATTTAATGGGTTAAATTTAAAAATTTTCACAAAAAGTACTAACATTATTTTTAAGATAATGTTGATCGTCACATGTTGACAACTTGTAACTGACAGCTATTACAGGTTAGTTTGTAACGTGTGGTCAAATTGTCAACATATGTCTAACGATAAGTACTTTCGGCTATTATTAGGAAGGACATCAATATTGCTATGGACCAGCATTATTGTAGAGTTATACTTTCAACAATTCAACTATTATGGATTTTGACCAGATCACTGCACTACAATGATTCCCAGATAAAAAATATATCTAATAACACATAAGATTTTGAGTTAAAACTGTGATTCGAAATATAAGTACAGAATTACAAAACTCGCTTTTTAAGACGAAAAGTTTAATGATAAGCTTAATCAGAGCCTTTTGTAAGATTTTTCTTTCTAATAATAACATTGCTTATGTGTAAGCAATTGTCTAAGCATATTATAAATATTTCAATACATTTAAAGAATCAATCAAATTTAATTAACAACGAATAATAGTTTTCTCTATGTAATTTGTTAAATTATTCGATTTCTCATGATATTTTGTTCCGACAAATGAATTTTGAAAAAGATTCTAATTTCATGAAAAGAGGTTTTTGTGATGAATGGAATATTAAAGAAATTTTGTTGTTTTAATAAAATTAACAAATATAATAAATTTAAAGAAAAATAGAAGATAGATTCTATAGATATGGTGTGTAGTTTTATGTGTGTGTAAATTTCACATATAGTTTTTTTCAAGAATTTTTTTTCTTTGAGTGTACTATAGACTAAAAGTGGATTAAGATGGTGGAAAGAGTGTGTATGCTCTTGTTTGGTCATATTCAAAGTTGTTTAAAGACAATTAATAACTAGTGTTTAGATTGATAGTTTTTTTGGTTTTCTTGGCATTTTTTTGGTATTTGGTTGATAACACTAATAAACATAACAGTTACACAATAAATAAATATAAAATGAACTTAAATTATATTATAACTATAATATTTAAATTAAATGTCCATTAGAGAAATAAATGAATAAACGAATACAAAATACTTATAGACAAAATACCAAAGTGTTGAAATTATTATAAAATTTGTAAAGACAATAGTAGAGGAAAAATATAATTTAATAATAGAAATAATGTAAGACAAACATAAAAACTTAAAAACTTTTTAATAATTCAATGATAGTGGACAAACAAAGCAACAATAAAATATAAAATAATCTCGCAGGGAAAACTATGTCTAGTTGTCGGAACCATACTAAGTTAAATTCATCGTTCAAATTACTACCGCAATGATTAAAGCAAACGAGTTTATCATAATAACTATTCGGTTTGGTTATCATAATTTGTAGCTCTCTAATTATGATGTCATATATATTTAGAGAAACTTAGCATGTTGCTGTAGTTACTTTGAATGGATTTTTAAATAACATGGTTGTTACAACAAGAACTACGATTACAACGATAATATTATTGTATTTCTTCCAGCAATATTGTAAGTATTATAGATGTAATCATTTGCTCTGCGTGATTTAATAAAACAAAATAACAAAAACAAAATATTTTAAAATAAATAAAATTTTTAAAGGGGAGTTGTT